TCGTATTTAACAATTAAATCGATAAACTCAATTAAATTACATCAGTACATTTTTATTCCCCTTCCCCTATTTATACAAATCGATAAATATTTTTACAAATTTGTAAATATTTACATATAACATATTCATAATAAAAGTATAAATAATAAAAGTAAAACCTTTATCATTAATTCCTCGCAAAGAATAATTCCTCGTTTATTGTGCAATAATGTAAAGATCAATTCAACAATATTTCAAGTATAAACACTGACTTGGAATTGATCATTACGCAATTACTTGGTAAGAAGGGGGGGAAAAAAGTATTTGAACTCGGTCGGGAAGTCCAGGTTCTGAATCACCGATGTGTATATAGATATATATGTATTGTATAATGCAAGTATAAACATAGTTGCAAACCTCAGCTGATAGGCAATACGGAACATGGAGAACCGGTTCGCGAAATGGCATGTGTGGGAACAAAGACAGGTTATACGCGATGTGACGTCATAGGCGTTTCGCGACGAGTCTATGGTGGGTGGTTAAGTGTGTGAATTCGTGTGATGTTTTTCTCTTTGTATTTGTTGTATCCGTGTGAGGATGGTCAGTGATTGCCGATGTGAAAGAAAGGCTAAGGTGCAATAGGCAAACATGCTCGCCCTTACGAACTCTGTTCCTACGATTATAAACCTTTCTCTGCAATACTAAACCGATTTTTGATCAAAAATAGATAATCCAGATGATCTAGTAGGATCATCTGGATTATCTATTTTTGAACCTCTTTTTAAAATTTTTTGTTGTTGATAAGTTTAATAATTATCTGTAATTACGAAAAATTTCTAAAAGAGTTAATTCTTTCGTTTTTGATTTTTAGAAACTTTTCGTATTTGTTTTCGGATGCGTTCAACTGGTTTGTGTCTTGGGTATTTGGAGCAATTTGCAACCTGTAGTTGCTTGTAGCTGTAGCATTATAGTTTTAGTGGCATTTGTACCACTTTTTGCAGCATTAAATCCTTTTAATTTCTGGGAACTTCAAAACTGTTTTGGAACTTTTGTTTGCTGCAATTTTTACATCTTTTCTTCTGCAGATTTCTGAAGCAACAACATCTACCGAATGGTACAAAGAATTCTGAAAAATGCAGCATCTTTTCTGCCTTGTACTGCTGTACATGCTAGAAAAGCTGCTGGTACAATAATGGTACAAATAATTTTGAAAAATGCATCATCTTTTCTAGCTTGTACTGCTGTACATGGTAGAAAAGATGCAGAAAAAAAGATGTCTGGAATTTTTGGATTCTACTAATCTTTACAGCTTCGTATCTGTAGTTTTCTGACACAATCTGCTACCTTTACTCATTTTTTCGAAAGACCACATTTCTTTTTCATAAACTTTTTCTTCCTTTTCGTCATCATTTACTTCTTCTTCTTCTTCTTCTGTTTCATCATCTTCATCATCCACACAATAAATGAAAAGCAATTTCGAGGAATTTTACGTTTTACAAACTACTTCTGATAGTTTTCTCTGTGGGTTGCAATTTTCTAAATTAGCTTAAGATGAGGGAAGAAAGATGGAAATACAACTTGTTGTGGGAATCCGTGACTGGGATTCTCTGATGACTGATTCACCCAGGAGAAAAAGATGAGGTGGAAGAGAACGAGAGAGAGGCGTGAGACGAATGGAAAAACCCGCTCCTTTAGTCTCTTCGCATTTGATACAACAGAAAAAACAAAATCGTGATCTCATTGGTGAATCCTTAATTCTTTTTCTCATCATTCCAAAAAAAAAAAAAAAACCTCTGAATTCTAGAAATTATTTCTCATTCAACAAAGTACTAATATCCTTCTCTTCTCTGAAGAACAAAAATCTAATTTCAAACAGTAATTAAAAACTTATCGGACAACGAGAGTAACTCAGGAATTTCTAATTACAAAAATCCGTGAAAGGAAATTAATTCCCTTTCATCGACTTTTAATCTTTTGTGAAAATATATATTCGATGTTAAAAATTCTCGAGGTTATGCCTACTAATTTCTGGTAGCACTAAGCTATACAGGTAGAAACATATGTGTTCCGGATGGTCCAAAAATTCCCGGAAAAATTACTAAGAAAAAAATTTATGGATGCCAAGGGAGACATTCTATTTGGGATGAGAATCTCTGTAAAGGACGTCGGCTCAGGTACACACGGTATAATTCTGAAAAATTAAAAGGTGAATTCGTCAGCTGTTTTGTCTGCGGCGCAACAAATCTTGTTACTCCCAAGGATTTGGGGTGCCAAAAGGAAGTGGGGGTTGAAAAGTAGGAGGGTAACTTTCGAGCCAGCTGTTCCCTTTTTCCCCCTTCTTGAAGAATAGACACCGAAATCGACAAACCGAAAGGGAAAAAAAGGAAAACCAAAAAAAAAATTTTTGAAAATTTTAACTATTTTGAATAATTATCAATTGTAGTAATTGTAATTAATTGTAATTTCTGATTTTAAAAAATAGTTATGAATATAAATAAAAATTTAAATCTCAATGTAAATACGAATCGTAGATGAATGGAATTTTTGTTTTGTTTTTAAAATCGAGAGACGACGGGGTCAATTTAAAGATAAGAGGAAAGTGGAGAACTTTTTTAAAAACAACAGAGTGAGTACTGTTTTCTGAATGGATGCTTTTAGATGAGTGAACCTTTTGGTCTCCCACAAAGTAAACTATAACAGTAATGGTCTCAGCGTTGGTCGTTTCTCTCTCATAAGTCGCAATCTCGCGGGAAGAGAGAGAAAACCCCGTTGCTTTCTTAAATACGAAAGAGAAAATTCTTCGTCATTTCATAGCCCTTTGACCTTCTCATTTCAAATAACGGAACAAAAACGATTCACTTTTGGACTACATATATTCGACTCGAATACTCTATCAAAATTTTAACAATTCAACTTTTCCCAAAATGCAACTTTTTTCAAATTTCTTTTCTATTTTAAATCAAAAATTAAAAATTTTTTCATCTATTTCAATAACTAATTTTCTTTTAATATTTCGTTTTAATCGCGAAATATTTGTATGCATTTTCTTGAATTCAACACTAATTGTCTTAATTTGAATCAATTTTGCGTTTTACACTAAAAGGAAGACTGCAATTATTTCGTCAAGTAACGGACTTTCATGAATGAAAGAAAAAAACAAAAAAAAAAACTCTCAAGGAAATGGGATGGTAAACGAAAGACAATGACTGCCATCAGGGATGACTATAATAATGATTCTTTTTCACCTATATAATAATGATAATAAAAAGGGTTGAGAATAATTAACCAAAAAAAAAAAATATTAAATGAACCGCAAAAAAATAAACAAAAGAAGAGAAATAAACTCGTGCCAAAGTTCGCAATGAGACTAAAATCCTGTATTGAAAAAAAAGTCGGTCAATTTGTCAGTTTTCCATTCGCACACAGCTTGCATATATTTACCTGTAACCTAAAAAACTTCGAATCTAGAGCATTTTTCAAGGGATGCTGCAAAAATATGAGAGAAAGAGGCGCAAAGTTTCAAAGATGCGGTTCTGTTTACTGATTAAAAAGTCACGAGATTCTATATTTTCGTCCTTTTTTCTATTTTTTTTCCCCTGTGTGTGAGGCTTTCAATGCAATTTTTTTCGATACAATAGAAAATTTCTCTTCGTTTAGATTTTTTTGTTGCCATTTCAAATGTGAAAATATTTAAGGAGAGTAATTTTTAATTTGTTTTCATTTCTAGAAAGGATATTTCCATTTCGAAAACAAAATAAATAAAATACTTTGTAAAGGTTACGAATATAATTCTAGTCATGCGTGTATGGAAACTTTATCCGCATGTAAAAGTCAGTCAAGTATGTATTCCCAGCATGCAATTGGAACGTTGATACGTGAATTGTTGTATCATAAGATGAAAAAAAAATTTTTCAACTGTAGTTTCGAGTTACTTTTGAGCTTTTCGGGTGATTTTCGTTTTTCGGGGAAAGAAAAATTTTCTTTTGCTTGAAGGAATCGACGAAAGTGATTTTAAGCTGTAATTTGCTATTTGCAGCTATTTTAAGCTACAATATTGCTCTTATTAGCTATTTGCTATACAATATCGCAATTGGTTTCAATTTCCAAAAGTCACAATTATTGGTTTTTGATGGTATAAAGCTAATGCCGAATCTGGTCGAATTGGATCCAATTGTTACCAAATTTGAGAAAATAAATAACAAATTGCGGCAAAATGATATCAGATTTGAGAAAATTGTTACCAAATTAGAGCAAATTGATACCAAGTTGAATCTAATTAATACCAATTTGAGTATAGATGGTAGACTTGAGTAAATTAATACTGAATCGGAGCAAATCGATACAATTTAATTAGTGCAAATTAATACCAAATTGAATCAAATTGATGTCAAATTTTAGCAAATTGGTACTAAGGTGGATTAAATTAATAATTTAAACCAAATTAATATTTAATTAAATGAAACTGACGAGTTGAATCAAATTGACACCGAATTAAATCAAACTAATAAGTGAATCAAACTGATGCCAAATTTTAGCAAATTGTTACAGAATTAATAGCCAATTAATACCAAATTGAATCGAACTGACAACGTCGGATTGAATTAATACCAATTTGCAGAAAATTGATTCCAAATTGAATCAAACTAATACCAAATTTGTGCAAATTGTTAGCGAGCCATCGCAAATTGATACCGAATTGTAACATGTTAATTCCAAGTTGCGACAAATTGCCAAGTTACATCAAATTGATTCCGATTTGTAGCAAATTGATACCTAATTGCAGCAAATTGATACAAATTCGGATCAAATTGTTCACAGTTCTTCTAAGGATCTCAAAAGGCCTTCGCCTTTTGTCTCAATTTGATATCCTTAGAAAAACTGTATTACCAAAATTTGTAGCATAAAATTTGACATGAAACATTGAGTAGCAATTCCACCCAATTTGCCCACTTATGATCATAAAGACAATAAACCAAGAAAAAACATTCTAAAACAACAAAATAAAAGAAATATCGCCTCACCTAGGCCCATTTTTCGTTTGAGTTTCTTGAGCACCCTCATTTTACTGCGCAATGGTGCAAGAATTTTGGTATCACTAGTACTATTCTGTTGTGGTTCAACTTGATGTTTCGTTTGATGATGCGAATGATGATTGTGATGCTGTACTGCATGTGAATGATGATGCTGATGATGATTATGATGCAAAGAAACACTTGTACTTGCATTTGCTGCATGTCCACAGCAATGACAGGGATGGCTTTTACTGCCAGCACCCTTAATCGCGCACTCTCCAGACACCCCCATTTTTCTTCTTTTCCAAAAGAAACTTTGAAAAAGAATTATCCTCAAAATAAAGAAAGATTCTCACACTGACACAAAATTTCACTATTTCAATTTTTTGATTTTTGCTAGACAAAACAATCCTGTCACTGTTGGAGAGTTTCACAATAAAAATAAAAATTGACTAGAAAATAAATTTACTGAACACGCCGGTTCTTCGCATGATAATGGAGCACACGTGATTCACAAAGGACTCTTGAAAGATTCAAAAACTTATTGAAACTGGTTCTTTATATAGTGGTACGAAGAGAGATAGAGAATTGGAAAGAACCTAACCTGAACGACGTCGCGTGTGTTTTAATCTCTGTGTATATATATAAAATTGAGAGAAAGGGAGACGCAGCCACGTGCTGCTGAACAGCTGAATGCTCTTCGAGCGTCCAGGGTCGACTGACGAGTTTACAGACGGGAGCTTGGGGTATCGCTGAGCGGCGCGCGAGCCAACGACCAATGAAAATTGTTGGATTCCCACTCCTTGGTGGATGAAACGTCAGGATCGGCAAAAAAGAGAGGAAAAGGGAAGGTCGGCACCTGGTGGACAGCTGCCCTTTTACCTGAAACGCACCGGGCTACCCTGCTCGATAGGGAGGTCAGGCGCCCTCGTCCTCACCAGTGATATTTCGCATTGCTGGGTGCTTCTTTCATAAGATTCACTGACACGTCACCCAATCAACATGCAAATTTTTTTTTTTTTTGAAGCTACATTCAACTGTAGTACCAGCAGGTTCTTGATTTGTAGCTTCATATCTTTATAATGATTGTAAATTGCTCAAAATGGTCAATTGGTTAAATTGCTTGGAACCGTTTGACAAAAGCGCCTGAGAATGAGAATTATTGAATCTGCTCGTTAATTATTGAAATTAGTTTCTAATTGATAGGAGGCGATGATTTAATAACTGATCACTGATCCAGAAATTAATCGATTCTAAGAATTGATCCCTATTTTTAAGTATTTGTTAAGAAAATCTTATGACAGTATGACAGTCTTAAGATGCAACATTTTTAAGACAGATCCTAAAATGCAGTGAATTATGGAGGATTGACATTGAAGCAAACTACTAAATTTAAGACTGATCTTAAATTAAGATTTACTTTTTCTTGAGTTGAAGATATGATATTTGTTTCAAGTACCGATCACTGATTTAAGAATTAATCGCTAGTTGGATACTAAATACTATATAAATATCATTGCATCAATTATTGATCGACTTAAAAATCGATTGTTCCTTCAGGTGCAGCTTCAAGAATTGATTATTAGATTATTAGATCACTGATCCAAAAATTGATTTTTACTTGACTGATCACTGACTTTAGAAAATAATTAATTTAAGAATTTAGTGCTATAATTTTAAAAATCAATAATAAATGAAAGAATTAATTCAAGAATTAATACGTTGGTGAAGTTCACAACGTTTATAATCAACGATTTCATAAGAAAAATATTTTTTTAAGCAAATTTTTATTAATTTTTGTATAGAAAATATTTTGGTTAGTTTTTTGAATAATGATTTACAAAAGCAATATTTGTGAACAAAAAATTTTATTCTTTTTCGTAGGGAAATAATTTTTCTTTTCAATCGTTGATCATAAACGTTGCAAACTTCACCGACGTGAATTAATTCAAGAATTAATTCAAGAATGAAATCTTCAAGTATTAATCAAGGATTCAAAAATTCATTAATCGTTCCAATACTTCGATCATTATTGACTCAAAATTTGATATTAATTTTAAGTACCTACTAATTAATATCTTTAAAGAAACTGATTCAAGACATAATTATAAAAAAATTAAAAATATAATTAATATATAATATATATAATAGATATAATATATAAAAAACAATTTTTGGATCAAGAAAATATCCTTTTAGTTAGGATAATAAACAAATTTTTGATTGATAAACACTATACATTAGAAGAAACAATTTTTTGATCAAAGAGCAATTATTGAATGGAAGAGTTCGCATTTCTTTTTGGTTACAAAATATTTCCTGTATCAAGAGACGTTTCTTGGAATAAAAAATATTTCTTGGATGAAAAAAAAACTTCTTGAATCAAAAAACATTTCTTGGAACAAAAAATATTGTTTTAATTAAGAGAAATCTTCTTGAGTTAAAAAACATGTTTTTGATCAAGAAGAATTTTCAGAATAAGAAAAAAACAATTTATCTATAGAAAAAAGTATTTTATTTTCGAAAAAAAACTGCATACTCAATATTATAAAAAAATACTGTTCAAAAAATACTCAATAAATACTATAAAATATTTCAAAAAGACTAAAAAAAAATTTAGTTTCGTATTTTTTAGTATTTTTGTAATATCTTTCAGTGCTTGTTTAATATTTTTTTAAAATTTTTTTTCAGTGTTTGTTTAGTATTTTTGAGTATTTTGCTTCTTCATAAAGAAAATTATTGCAGTGTATTTTAAAGTGTATTTTTAGTATTTCTTCAGTATTTGTTTATTATCGTTTTTTAGTAACTTTTAGTATTTATTAAGTACTTTTTAATATTTGTTTAGTTTTTTTAGTAAAAGGACAAAAATATAATAGGATACAACCTTTAGTATTTACGCTCGAAGTACATTTTACTCAACAAATTATTTACGAAATAGTGTTAAATTTACTAAAAACTAAAAAATTCTTTAAAAATACGTTAGTAAAAAATAATTTTAAAGAAAAATACTTCTGAATAAAAAAATTACTTTAGAATTACCTTAGTATACACCAATACTAAAAAATATTTTAAAATACCAAACTTTACTAAAAAATACTAAAAAATTCTAAAAGAATACAAAAAACCAGAATAATATTCAAAAATACGTTAGTAAAAAATATTTTTAAAGAAAATACCTAGAAAAATACTTTTAAATAAAAAAATTATCAAAATCGTTAACGGTAAGGAGCAAAAATATCACTAAAAAATACTGTTAAAAAAATACAAAAATACTAAAAAATACAAAAATATTTTTAATAAATACTATAAGATTTCAAAAAATACCAAAATAATACAAAAAAATTTTAAAATACCTACTAAAAAGTACCTTAGGAAAAAATCATTTCAATAAAAAATACTTCCGCGGATTAAGAAAACTATATCAAAATGGTTAACGCTAAGAAACAAAAATAGTAAATAAATACACTACTACTGCTAAAAATGGTACAAAAATACTATAAAAATACTAAAAAAATACCAAAAAATACCAACCGAAAATAATACAAAAAATTTAAAAAATAGAAAAATACCAAAAAATACTCTAGTAAAAAATAATTTTAAAGAAAAATACTTCTTGATAAAACAAAATTATCGAAACCATTGGCGTTAAGACCCTATAAAACACTAAAATTAATATTCTAAAGAAAAAAAAAATTTTTTTTATTTTTAACAATCTCTCATAAAGTCAGAATACTAATATAACTGATTACAGATTATAATCCTCCTCAACATAATGAAATTTATATATTATTATTTAAAACAATTACAAGTGGGAAGTGCGCACTCTTTTTTCACCACAATTTATTCCTAAAGATGAATAATAATTTTTTTCTTCAAAAAAAAAAATAATAAAAAAAATCATGATGTAGTGAAAAATACATGAGGTAAAGTCAGTACTTCTTTAATGCACGGCCACTGCACGATGTACTTATATCAGATAATGGCGAATAAGTATAAGCAAGTATGCATAGATGAGGTCTTTGCACACGTGCACTTTTCTTATAAATACAATATGCAGCACAGAAGGTATAAATGAGAAGGGTCCCTATACACTTAAAACGATTTTACCTGCTGGAAAAACGAACAAACCCACAATTCAACAAAATGCCAAGTTCTAGAAAAAAAAGGTGGAAAAAAATTAAGAAAAATTGAAAAATCTAAAATTGAGAGTTGAGATTTTTTTTTAACTTAAAAAATTTTTTTTTCTATTTTTGATCATTTTTCTTCTTTTAAATGGGATAAATTTCACTTCGGTCTCATAAAAAAAAACTTAATTTTTTTCAGATAATTTTTTTCTGAATGTTGACACGGTTTATATGTACATGTAGATAATGTGTCCCTTTTTTTAATACAAGTTCCCTGAAATGATACTGTATTTACAATAGAAAGTTCATTTTCTATTTTATTTTCTAATACGTAATTATTGTATCTTTCTAAATTGGAATTATAGTCTGGGAAATATAATGGGATGATGAAAAAAAAAAGGTTTACAGACGAAACTATTAGTTAGAAAGAAGAAATATTCATTCAATTGACGTGACAGGGACTTTTTTACATCATAAAATTTCAGATCGACTCTCAATCTCTCTTTCAAGGCATACAAGATGAAAGATCATGTTTCCATGGGATTTGTAACGTTCCTCTCTCCCATGAGGATGAGATAAAAAGTTCAGGTCCAGTGAATGCGAACGATATCAAAGTTATCGAAAATTTTGTTAACAGAGAAAAAAAAATATATAAAAATATTGAAAATAAAAAAAATATTCTGCAGGTATTCACTTGATGTCAGAAACATATTTTTTTTTTACTAAAAGGGAACAAAAAATTAAAAATATTTCAAAATTGTATTTTTCTTTTTTAAAAACTAATAAGAAACATTTAAAAATATGAAAAAACTGTTTATAATACAAAGAAATCGAAAAAATTTCATTTCTGAAAATAATTTCGAAAACAGAAATGTATTTTTTTCAAAAAATTAAAAAAAAATATAAAACTAAAAATTGTTTTTTATTTTAAATAAATGGGATGTAATTTCGAAAAAATCAAAATGAATTTAATGAGAGGCACGAACTAATTAGAATTTAAGTCAAAAACGGTTTGAAAAAAAATATCAAAACGAATCTATTATGCGGGTATTAAAACACGGATTTCGTTTAACAAAAACCAAAAATTAAAATACATACACATTTGCATCTATATGCGGGTCGTTTTCTACAAACTTCTACCGACAGAGATAATTTGTGGAATTAATATAAGCTTTTCGAACATGAAGGTAGACTAATACTAATTGTATTTTTACTTCCATCTAATCAAAAAATTCAAACATAGCTACAACTTAAATGCATTTTTAATATACAAAAAATAATCAAAATTTATTATCTTCTACTTTAGCATTTTTCAAAATTTAATTTTCTATTTAGCAGAGAAGAATTTTTTAATTTAGCAGAAGAATTGGAAGGATTAAAAAAATTAATTACAACAACAATTAAAAATTAAATTTAAATATTTTGAATCTTCATAATTCAATTGTTTGATACGTTTCAAAATTCAAAACCGAAACAAGGTTTCAGAAAATTATAAAATAAAAAAAAATTTGTTTGATTCGAATAACCGATTACTTGTCTATTATCAAAATAAATATTTAATTCAATAATTTTTATTTCAAAAAATTGTTATTAAAATCAA